GAATGAAGTATCCCATGGATAACTACAATTGCGCATTGAGGCTTTATGCTTCATTATGATGCTGAAAGGCCACCCACAAGGCTCTAAGCTGTAATGGCAGATGTGAGAATGGAATGGTTCGACAGTGTTTACTCTGAGCGAGAAGAGAAATAATCCATGTGTGGACCCCATTCCCAGAATGCCTATGCACTACATGCTAGACCAGGCCACTACAGGTAAGAGAGATCTTCACTCACACCCCTATTAGAGATGCTAAAAAAACAACAAATCACTCACATTTACAGAGCTCTGCCAGTGTGCTGCTGGGGGCCTCATGCTGTAAATCTCAAAGATTTCTTCAATAGGAATGCTGTTCTGTGAAGAGAGAGGTTCAGCTCCCAGAAGTAATATTATTTAAAGTGAATGTATGAAATACAGATCATATCCCCTTTGAAACAGCTTTCACGTGAACTCCTAGTACTGTTTCATGCTGCTAGTACAAATCTATTGAGATCTGGTCCTGAAACTTGTCCGCCATTTTGCACTTGGGTGAGAAAAGATAAGTAACATATACACACACATAGGACCACCTGGTGAAACTGTTTACTTTGCCTTCTAAGGCTGAGCAAAACTTAATGGCTACCTGATAAAAATGAGATGGATTTGTAATATTTGCACTGCCTGTAGACTATGCTTTCAATGAACAAAGATATCCAGGGTACAGGTAGTGTTTCTAGACAGATGCCATACAGGAAAAGGTATTGCTATCTTTCTTGCCCTCTTACCATTAATATTCCAGCATATGAAGATAATATCATAGCTTTTCTCTCAATTCGGTTGGGATACAGGTATCGGTTGCTAGCTGCAAAATTCCTGTATGGTGTTTTGAACAAGAAGATTATTAGCCTGGTGTTATAAACACAAAAAGTATTCCTGGGCTCAATTAATTATTGCTTTTACTCCATCTTCACACTGGTGTAACCCACTGCAACAGCAGGGCCTGAGATTTGCAATACTCACATTTTCTCCCTTGTCAGTGCAGTCTGACCATCCAAGTCACTTAGCCACAGCAAAGCAACATTGAAGGCTACGTTGTAATGGACCTGGAAAGACAGAAGAACCTTGTGTGTTTTGTTTTACTGTAGTTGCTTGACTGAGGATGACAGAAAGACCAGAGAAATACTGGGAAACGTGAGCTGGAGCCCAGTGTTGTCTCAGCTACACCAGGTACCTCACCAGTGGTAAGGCACTTGCTGAGGTTTGAGGGGTTTTAAACACAGCCAGGAAGACTTTCTCAGCTTAGCTGAAAGATGTCTTGTTATGCACAGACAACTGTAGTTTGTGAAGAATTCCCTTTGGTTAGTTGACTTGAACTTTATCAAATGTCCTCTGTGGATGAGCTTTGTCTGAAAAATCAGCAAAAACTTGAATTATCTTGGATACACTACACCCAGATGCTATTCACACCCGATCTCTTTAGTTACTCATTTCAGTAATGAGCTTTTATTGATCAAAGTAGGAACAGGTTATTTAGCTGTACCGAACAGCCATCCTTCAGAGTTCTCAGTAGTCCTGCAGTTAGAGAGGACAGGAGGTAAGAAGTTGGGTGAGAAGTTGGGTGATTACCATGTCATCTAGAAAGGTGGGCTGCCTGTGTCCTCTTGGATCAAATTCATTTTCTCGTAGTCTGATGCCAACATAATCTGCCCTTAAAGCAACAAAATAACTCCAAATTACAACCGGTTCTAAGCAGTCCAGTGCATAAGAAATGTAATAGATGAGTCTAAAGCTAGTGCAAGACTGGGGCTAAATTTACTACAATTCAGGGCTAGGAATCTGCTGCAGGATTTCTCAGACACCTCCTATATAGGAAAGTTGCATCACTGCTAATCTTAGCTTCCCTCAAACCACACTGCTCTTCTCCCTAAATGCTATAGTATAGGAAGAAGAACAAACATGAATAAAGTATTTAAAGTCTGGGGACTCACAGACGAATTTCACTGTATAGCCAAGAGACTGAAAGAGATGCTTCACTGGTGCTGGTTCTTCTTATTTGGGGGGATGTGTGTGTGTGTGCAGTCTTTCCTCAGACTGAGTACTACTGATCCATGCAAGCAGTCCTAGGGAAGATGGGCACAGGAATTGTATGGAACAGAGGGGACACTGCTTACATCCCCTAGCAGTTGGCTGCTGGGCACTCCCGCATCAAAGAGCATGAGATGCCACTGCACGGAGGAGACCTCTTACAGACAGCAGCTGCACTGACTGCATAGCAAGGGAGGAACTCTGCACCTCCCTGGTCACTCCCACTGACTCCCCAGCAGGTTCTGCAGTTGTGGGCAGTTACTACTTACAGGAGTTTTCCAATCTCTTTCTTCAGCCGTTTTCTTTCCATACTCTAGCTGTCACTGTAACATAAGCTCAATGGGATCTAGGGGAGAGAAAAGTGCATCCTACCAAGTATCTCTGTCAGTGAGCAAATCTGAATCACAGATAGAGAGTATGGGACACTCAGAGACCCCCTCCAAAATCTGGCCAAAATAATTAATATATATTTATTTTCATCACATTTTAAATAATTAAATAGATTTTAATTAAATTAATATAATCCCAGGTAGAATTATAACAAAAGCTGAGAAAAATCTAGTTGAGAAAGAGAAGACAACATGCACAGTACTGAAAGTGAAGGTGAGGAGTTTGGTAATGGAAAATGGGCAGAATGAGCCCACTTGAGAGGAGCATCAGTCTTGAGTGTCAGCTTGCAAACTGCCTGCATACCCATCACAGTGATGTATATTCTCTCATATAATGTAATCTTTTGACCTGCTGCCACTTCTGAGTTTCTTAGCACGTGGCTTGCTCTCCCCACTGTGTGTGTACTGATCAGACCTATGTGGTACAAAGAGGCGGTGGACTGGGAAGAGGACAGGCTGGAAGAAAGAAGGTAACAGCTGGCATGACAGGACACAGCAAAAACAGAAGCCAGCACCTGCCTCACCAATTTATTGTAATATCAAAGTGCATGCTTCACTTCTCTGCTCCATAATACACAAAGTAATGACGTACCTAAGTAAGTTCTCTGTGCTGGATATTGTCTCTCTACTCTCTCTCATATATGTACACAAGAAATCATGTACTACCTGTGCCAACTCTTGGAATAGGCTTCAGAATCTGGGTTTGGAGCCTCTCTGACTTCAGGTATCTATAAGGAGGAATTCCCTCTTGATGTTGGTGTTCCTTTCTTGCCTCTGCCACTCAGTTTGTGTGCCAGGGAAATTAGGCTATGGCTTTATGCAGGACTGCAGCTTTCTCCTGTTGCTTAGAAACAATGCTGCTTAGCTGAGAGAAATTAAAAGAAAAAAACAAACCAACACAGAGAAGAGGTTAAACCCGCACCTTCAGATTGGGTTACCAGTTTCAAGCTAAATGATCCCTTTATACTTCTAGGCATTGAGTTTCACTGCTGAGTGGCTAGTTGGAAACAGAAGACTTGCTAACAAGGGAGCCAGAGACTATTCACTCAGTTTTCTGATGGATCCAATTGCTTGTAAAAGAAGCTATCAGCTTTCTCTGTTACAGCATTCAGCCGTATGGAATGGTAAAAAACTAGACCTGATACTTTCCAAGAGCCCATCTAGGGTTCCATTTGCAGTGTTTATTGCATACAGTAAGGATCCTGCTACTTGTTCTTTCATCAATTTTATGTTTTCACTCACGGTATTAGGAAAAACTCTAATAGCCAGGAAATCCCAACATGACTTACAAAATCCTGCTGTTGTTCTTCCAATGGATGCAGGGCACTCCCTGCACAGATTGCTGATGGTAGCCAATGCATTATGACGACTAACAAGTCAGTGAGAGACTATTGGATTTTGTAGATTAGGAAGGTTTGCAGGCTGAACTTCTTAATGGAATAAGCCACACCCCTCCTTGGGAATGTACTTCTCATGTCACTAACTGATTACCTAGTAAACAATAGGAATGGGTTTATGAGATGTGATCCTAGAACAAAGATTGCCTCTCTTTGTAATGGCCTAAGAAAACATAAAAGCAAGTGTATTATGATGAGACATAGATGTTTTCCAGTAAAAAGCCTACTTTGTATTTACAGGATTTGTGCTGTGTTTTCTCTTATTTCATTTCACCACTCTCTTTCCAAAGCCTGAGCTTTATGCATGTGCCTAGGGAGGTGCAAGAGGTGAAGGTGGTGGACATGGTTCTGCTACCTACCGTGTCTTTGCTATAGCAGTGGAAAACTAGGTGGGCAGCCATTGCGGGGGCGCTGGAGTTTGGCAATGGCCCCTCCTAGCAGCATCAGATGATTATGGCCATTCCCACTAATTCTATGGCAAAAGTAGCAACAAGCTTAGCAATTCAACACCTTTTGTTCCAGCTGCAGGGCTTGCAATCAAGTTGGACTTAATTTCTGAAGGCATCTGCCTGGCAAGCATCATGGCAACCCTGTGTCTCCAGTAGACCCACTGCTTGTTTGCTCTCAGAAATGCAGATTTACTGCCTGCCTTTCCTACAGATACACCTGCTCCAGGGCTTATCTGCTGGTATGGCCAGGCGTGTGAAAAGTGACCTTCACAAAGTGAACACAGCCATGCCAGGACTGACCCAAAGTCCTGCTAACCCAATCCCTCTCCTATTACATGGCAAGGGTGATACCCTGATGAAGAAAGTGAGTTTCCTGAAATGAGGCTGGTCCCTAGCCTTGGGTTGAACTCACCCCTGTTATTTCCCCCAAAGCAAGAAATGCTTCTCTGTCACTGCAAGGCAGGGAGGGGGGGTGCGCTGTGTTTGTGCTGTTCCTGGGGAAAAAAAAAAAGAACAGCGGCCACTAGTGGATTCTTGGGTAAGAGGTGGAAGAGCTGCACCAGTAGGCACTAAACTTTCTCAGTGTATTTCCCCATTCTCCACTGATTTGCAGCTCAGGACCTTCTTGAGCAAAAACTGTTGCCTTGGCAGTTAACAGCCCTTGCTGTTTTTACTTTCACAAACTTGTCCAATCACTTTTTGAAACCTGAGTATTTGACATCTGCAATATCACCCGGCAAAGATTTCCACTGTTTAAATAGGGCTGTGTGGAAAGGGCCTCTGGTTTTAAGCCATCCACTGTTAATTTAATTTGCTGACCAGTGTGCTTAATAAACCTAGTAAAGTAACTTAGTAAACTAAGAGCAAGTCTAGGCCCTTGAACTGTGGAACTTGTCATGCATGGAGCACGGAACATGTATTGGAGAAGGATACTTAAGTCTTTTCCTCACACTACAGCACATTTAATGCCAGTCACAGGTTCCCTAGAGCAAGAACTACAGCAACTGGCAGGTATGTGTGTCTAGCATCGTTATCCACTGCAGGTCCAATTTTCAGGGCTGATATGGAGGGTGTTTTGTCAATCTGCTACTTAATCAAGTTGGATGGAAGAAATTAATTTAATAATTTGCATTATTTAGTGCTCATCAGCTAATGTGTTAACAAATACCACATAAACTGGTAATAGAAGTAGGATTTAGGACTCTCGCAAAGGCTTACAATTCACATGCCTGTTGTGGAAGCATTTGTATGAGCCTTGTTTGTATTGCAAATTCCCTCTGCACCTCCACTGTACATTATTGTTCTTCAAACTACTTGGATGCTTTTTCCTTACATGTCATTTCCTTAAAACATTTGTCACATCTGCACATGCAATGTCAAATTCTTGAGGACAAATTCAAAGGTGTCTGGAAAGCAATCCATTAACGTGGACTGAAATCTAAATCACTTAAGAAAAAAACGCCACCTCCTTTTAATAGACTGTAAAATGTCACCTTTTCGCAGGTGAAACCTGCAAGCCAAGTGCTAAACTCTGTGGACGAGCAAACCCTAACTTTTGGGTGAGATCTGTCCTTCAGAACAAGCCTCGGGCTTTTCTGAGGCGTTCCAGCAACATTTTGGCTCTGCGTGCCCAGGGCAAGGAGGCGGCAGCGCCCCACGACCACGGCCTCAAAGGCAGGCACTTCCAGCCAGAAGGAGGGCGGGGCCGCGGCGGCTGAGGAGGCAGCATTTCGGGGTTCCCCTTCCCCGTGAGGTCGCAAAGGTCCCCCCCTGAGCGACGGCGGCCTGGCCCGACGTGGCGGCGCAAAATGGCGGCGCGGCTT